GTGTCGGCAGGAGGATGTCATTGCCACAGCCAACCTGAGCCGCCGTGCCATCGCAGATATGCTGCGCGCCTGCAAGGTGGGTCTGCCCTGGATTTGTGGGGGGCTGTGGGTGCCAGCAGGGATGGTGCTGGATGTGAATCGGGGCTTCCCTGTTTCTGGGTTTCAGGAAGCCGCCTACCACCCGGAGGTGAGCGGGGATGTGCGGCAGCGGGCGCTGCGCTTTGGCAAGGAGTGTGCCGATGGCTACCTGGAGCTGCTGGAGCACGTGCTGGTGGTGAGTGTCCCCACTCTGGTTCCCAGGGTGGGCAGAGGCTGCCCATGAATGCCAGGGTGCTCCCCAAATCCTCAAGGTCCTCTGGGCTCTGCACCTTCTCCCACTGTGAGGTCTTTGCACGGCCCCCTTCACTTCCTTTGCCGGCACAGCATGTGGCCGAGCCCCTGCCATGGAAGCAGATGTCAGAGAGATAAACAGGTTCTGAAGAAAGGTATTTGGCTAACAACAGATGGAGATTAAATGGCCATAAACAAATGAGGGCTAGAAATTTGACAACACGGGAGCAAAATCCTGAAGCAGCTTCCAGTAACAGTGGTGGGAGTAAGAGTTCAGGCAGTGTGAAAACAGACCTTGTTAAGCTCACAACAGAGTGGGAGACAGGCAGTGGCTGTGATAGCAGAGGTGATGACTGCAAAGGCCAGCTGCATGCTTTTGATCCGGTTTTCCTCTGAGTCCTCCCAAGGACTTCAGCTGGCTTCAGATTTTAATTAGCTGTCCTACAAGATAAGTGTAGTTTACAAGAACCAAATTAAGACTGTAAAGTGATAGAAAGGATCCAGTGAGGTCCTTCCAGCAGTTTGCATTCTTGGCAACATCACAGAGATGCAGTCAAGAGTGCTGGGGGAATGCGCAGACCCAGCCCATGGAGCTGTGAGAGCCCGCAAACTGGAGTCAGGACAAAGATTGAGGGCGAGTCAGCTCTGTGGCAAGGTTTCACTAAGCTGGTTAGAAGGGCTTGGTGAGACTCTGCTGTTCACGTTCACCAGATGCAAGGAGGTGGAGCTCAGACTGTGGTTTCCTGCAGGGAAAGCCCCTTTACGCAGAGGGTAACTAACTAGCACTGGCAGCACAAAGAGGAGGTGGGCAGGAGTCGATTGCTAGAAGTTGAAACTGGGTGGAGGGGAAGTCAAAGGGTAGTCTTATCCGAAGGAGGTAACCACTGGGGTACAGTTCCAAGGGGAGAACTGTACCCTCTGCAGCTCAATCAAATGTCTGGCTGGAAGATGCTTTAGCCACATGTAAGTCGCAGCAGCCAAGGCTGGACTGCTGAGGAGAAATTCTCTGGCTGACCTGTTGTTAACAAATGATGGGGCTAATGGCTTAGTGTGGCAGTGCCCGAGCTCAGCCTACTTGCAGGAACACACTATTCTGCTGTGTTTTGGGTGTAACTGTCCAGCTGCCGTGCAATGTCCTTTGAATATCATACGGTGGTACGTCCCATGAAATGTTCATTGGAGGTGCATCTTGGTAAGCTCAGAGCCTCCAGGGTGCCTTCAGCTCCAGATGGAGACTCTTAGCAGTTTTAAACACATTGTCAGAGCAGATAGCAGACTTAATAATGTACCATTTAGTCTGGATGCACTTACGAGGGCAAACCAGCCATTGCTGTGTGCCACCAACCCTGGGGCTCAGAGCCACGTGCAGCTCCGGTGACTTTGCTGGATGGCCCCACACAAGTCCAGGATAAAGCCATGATGCCCCTGCACTCTGGTCTGCGAAGGCAGGAACAAAGCACATAGATCACATTTGTCAGAGGGCAGCAGGTTCCTGGAAAGCCGTGAGTGGGAAGGACGTAGGGGAATGGGAGGGAAGATGGCAGATGCGATGCTGCCTCACTCCCCGGCAGTAACAAGTCCATTGCTATATGCTGGGCGCCCATGGGAACCAGTGCCTTACACGGAGTGTGAGCAAGCGTGGTTGGGGTTCAAGAAAGAGGGTTATTTGACTCGGGATGGAAAACGTGTCTCCTGGCAGAGGATTGAGAAAAGCCTGCATATTTCACTGGGGAGGGGAAGGAATTGAACCTCCACGGGGACTTGGTATTTGGTAATGATAGATCTCTCCCTTCAAAAACAGAGAGATCTGGTGGCTGAAAACTGCAGTGAAGCAATTCAGGATGGGGAGAAATAAGGTGTAAAGGGGGGCAAGGAGGAGAGTGGCTCCATGGTTGCTCTGGGTGTAGGTGGCTCCTGCGGCCATGGGACCCTCATCCGGGTGCCCCGGCTTCCCCGGCCCTGCGAGGCTGAAGTATGAGCTAATGATGGCAGCACGGGTCCCCACCCAGCACCTCTGATCCTTTGTTCCCACCTCGCCTCTTGGCTGCCGTTCACCCTTCACCGGAGAGCACCTACCTTCCCCTGCCCGCCTTGTGCCCCCCATCCCCAGCGCCCGCGTGTCCCAGCTGGGGCGTTCACTGCTTTCTTCTCTCTCTTCTCCCTCCCTCCTGTCAGCCGGTGAGTAAGGCAACATTGGGGTGCCTGCTGGTGTCTAACCTTCAGCATGAGCCTTGCTCACGGTGTGTCTGCGTGCCCAGCCCAGTGCTGGGGTGCCACTTGCGTGTGTCCACAGGGACCCGAGGTCCGTGTGTGTGCGTGTGTACTCACACCCGCTCTAGCTGATGAGCAGCTCCCGCCTATGTGGTGTGAATCGGGCCAGCAGTGAGCTCTGCTTGTGCATACAGACACTGTGTGTGTGCACACGTGTGCTGTGGTGTGTGCATGTGTGTCCCCCCCGCCCCCGCTGAAGGACCCCCATGGCTCTGCCTGCCACCTTGTCCTGGGCTGGGACGTGGCTCCAGGGTCCCCCCTTTGCCCAGTTTGTGTTTGCAGACAAATCTCCAGAATGGGGACAGCAAGAGGGAAATGCTTCTGGAGCTTGAAATGCTTGAGGGGGGCAAGAAATCCTGGAGGGGGTAGCTGCTGGGTGCAGGAAGGCTTGTGCTGAGCATCTTGTGTCTGTGAGATGCCCCAGAAGCTGTGGATGCCGAAGGGCTGAGGGGAAGCTCATCCCAGCCTTGGGCAGGAGGAGATCAGCCAGGATTACTGAAGGAAGCATCACAGACAACGCCTGATCTGTACACATGTGTGAGGGAGCTGGGGGATCCTACCCTCCTTTCCTGGGGAGCGCACCCCGAACAGACCTATGAGGTCCCCCTTTTCGAGGTGCTTACATCTGCTCCTTCCCCACAGATCCTGCAGAAGCCGACTCACGAGCTGAAGCAGCAGCTGGCAGGATACTCCAAGCGTGTGGCCAGCTCCGTCACCGAGCTTATCCAGGCAGCTGAGGCCATGAAAGGTAAGGAAAGGTCCTGCTCAAAGGGGCAAGACTGAGGGCTGGGATTAGGGTGGAGGGCTTAGCAGCTGATGAACGAGGTAGGGTGAGTCAGAAATGAGGCTGCATGCAGATTTAATATGCCTCGCTTCTTGGTTTTTCTAGGGACAGAGTGGGTTGACCCAGAAGACCCCACCGTCATCGCTGAGAACGAGCTGCTGGGGGCAGCGGCTGCGATTGAGGCTGCAGCCAAGAAGCTGGAGCAGCTGAAACCAAGAGCCAAGCCCAAGGTAGTGGTGCTGAGCCTTGGCCTGAAACCAAGAGCCAAGCCCAAGGTAGTGACCCCCATGACCCCCATGCTCAACTTGAGGTGGGCTTGGGTTCTCCTACCTGCGCTTCAGGCAGATGTGAAGTGGCATCTGACAGCTGATACCTCTTCCTGCGCTCCCGCTGCCTCCCACATCCCCAGCTGGACCTTTCTTGGGCAGCTCATGCCCTTCTACACCCCACAGCCCTTAATCCAGCTTTATGTGTACCCCGTCAGCCCCCTGCAGCCATCATCTTGCTCTGCTTCATCTGTCCCAGCACCCCTGCCTGGGACTCACACCCCACTTTTGCCCACAGCAAGCAGATGAGAGCCTGAACTTTGAGGAGCAGATCCTGGAAGCTGCCAAATCCATTGCTGCCGCCACAAGTGCTCTGGTGAAGGCAGCCTCAGCAGCCCAGCGAGAATTAGTGGCCCAAGGAAAGGTAAGGCTGGAAGAAGGAAACAAATAAGAAAATGTAGGCCTATGGTGGGTTATCCCTGCTCCCGGGGCTGCTTGTAGCCCTTGTGCCCTGTGGCAAGGAGTGTGTGGCATGGTGAGCCTCACTCCTCCTCCCCTTCCTCGCAGGTGGGTGCCATCCCAGCCAACGCAGTGGATGATGGACAGTGGTCCCAGGGACTCATTTCAGCCGTGAGTATTTTCCTGGCTTGACTAAAACAGGACCAATTCTCCTTT